TATGAGTTGAACCTTTAGGATATGAATTGAACCTTTAGGATATGAATTGAAATTTTGGTTTATGTATTGGAATTTTAGTATATAAATTGAAATTTTAGGATATGACTTGAACTTTTGTGGATATGAGTTGAACCTTTAGGATATGAATTGAAATTTTGGTTTATGTATTGGAATTTTAGTATATAAATTGAAATTTTAGGATATGACTTGAACTTTTGTGGATATGAGTTGAACCTTTAGGATATGAATTGAACCTTTAGGATATGAATTGAAATTTTGGTTTATGTATTGGAATTTTAGTATATAAATTGAAATTTTAGGATATGACTTGAACTTTTGTGGATATGAGTTGAACCTTTAGGATATGAATTAAACTTTTGGTTTATGTATTGGAATTTTAGATTGCGGGAGGATTTTGTAGACGGGGTTGATGGTAATATTAGACATGCAATGGAACTTCCACCAAGAATAACTAAGACACAGTACCTGACAGAGTGTGCCTTTAATTGTTCTTCTCATTGGCGACAACGATGATGAGAAGGCAAGAACATGTGTTTCAAATAGTTATGGTGTAGGTAGGAGTTTAACATTTCCTAAGTAGATAAAAGAAGAGGTAATAGAGGAATTCTATACTTCAATTTCCAAGAGAAAAAGGAGTTTAATTGGGAGCGACAAGGGTGATGGTGATTGAATGTTTTCCGTTGGTCATGGCAGTTCCCATAAAATGGGGATCATAAGACTCTATGATGACAGAGATTATAGGAAGTTTTGTTCTCAACTTTCTTCCAAGTCTGATCCGTACAAGCTTAATTGGATGTTTATCATGTATTCTTCGGATTCAGACAATGATTTGACTGACAAAAGTATGAAAATGCTAATCAAAAGAATTAAAGCTAAAATGTTACAGAGAAAAACATTTTAGCTTTAATTCTTTTGATTAGCAGTTTCATACTTTTGTCAGACAAATCATTGTTTGAATCCGAAGAATATATGACCAACATCCAATTAAGCTTGTACGGATCAGACTTGGAAGAAAGTTGAGAACAAAACTTCCTATGATCTTTGTCATCATAGAGTCTTATGATCCCCGTTTTATCGGAACTGTCATGACCAACGGAAAATATTCCATCACCATCACCCTTGTCGCTCTCAATTAAACTTCTTTTCTTCTTGGAAAATAAAGTAGAGAATTCCTCTATAATCTTTCTTTTATCTACTTAGGAAATGTTAAAATTCCTGCCTATACAATCTCTAGTTGAAACACATGTCATTGCAGTCTCAACATCATTGTCGCTAACGAGAACAACAATTGATCAAAAGACACACCCTGTCAGCTACTGTATCCAAGTTATTCTCTGTATCCAAGTTATTCTCTGTATCCAAGTTCATCCCGAGTAATAGTACCATGAGGATAATCACCAAAGCCACCTGACAGCTTTATGATGCCAATGAAGCAAGATGAGCTATTCAATGAAACTCGTATTGTAAAGAAGAAGAAAGAGACTGATTTAGAAAGGTGGGTCGAGGGTCGAGCCTCGACTATACATGTAAGTTTTTTACTTATCATTAAGTATTTTGATTTACTTTTATATAAATTTTGAAATATTAATTCAATATAATTTTTCTTATAGGTTCGCTTCACAGCTGATATGGGGGAATTCATACGAAGTCAGCCACCTAACGAGTCGGCCGAGGGAATCCAACTTTCGAACGAGGATGCTAAAAGAACACTCCTTGAGTACTTTATATACTTTGAACTAGACAATAGAACTAGTTTTCGAATGAGCTTGTAATAAACGTTAACTTAGTTTTGTTAGCTTAATGTTTTAGTTCTATTGATATTTATATTTTGTTGCGTTTTAGTGTTGTTGTTGTTGTTGTTGCTGGCATAAAATGCCTGTTTAGGATATTTGGTATAAGCTGGCAGGTGGTGTAGCAGCCAAAACAGGCAGTTTCTGCCAAAAATATACCAAAAAAGCGACCAACTTTGGTGTCCAGTTGGTCGCTATTCACTTAAAAAAAAATAATTTTCTGGTAATTTTGCGACCAAGGTTGCTCGCTTATTGTTAAAAAAAAATTAATTCTTGCCATTGGCGACCAATATTGGTCGCCCATTAAATAAAAAATTATAACATTTATTAATATAGCGACCAAAGTTGGTCGCTTAATATGATTAAAAATAAATAAACATAAAACGTTATTTACATCTGGAGACCAACTTTGGTCGCCAAATATATAATATTAAAATATTTGAGCGACCAAAGTTGGTCGCTATATGCTTTGCCCGGAAAATTTTGTCCTTTTACCTGGGAGATTTAGCGACCAACTTTGGTCCCTAAGGTAAATGGATCAGCTTAATATCGACCAAGTGGTTGGTCGCTTTTTGGTCGTTTTTTGGCTAATAAGCAACCAACGTTGGTCGCTTTTGCTGGTCGCTTTTTTTCGGAATTCTAGTAGTGACAGGTCATCCCCAAGAGAGGTAGTTTCAAGTACCTTGGGTCGGTTATTCAAGGGGATGGAGAGATCGACGAGGACGTCCCTCACCGCATAGGAGTGGGGTGGACGAAATGGAGGCTAGCATCTGGAGTCTTATGCGACAAGAAAGTGCCACCGATACTTAAAGGTAAGTTTTATAGGGCGGTGGTTAGACCGGCCATGTTGTATGGGGCAGTGTGTTGGCCAGTTAATAACTCTCATACCTAGAAGATGAATGTAGCTGAGATGAGGATGTTGAGGTGGATGTGCAGGCATACTAGGATAGATAAGATTAGGAATGAAGATATTCGGGAGAAGGTGGGTGTGGCCCCTATGGATGACAAGATGCGGGAAGCGAGGCTCAGATGGTTCGGGCACGTGCGGAGGAGAAGCCTGGATGCTCCGGCAAGGAGGTGTGAGCTGTTGGCTTTAGTGGGTACGAGAAGAGGTAGAGGTCGGCCTAAGAAGTATTGGGGAGAGGTGATCAGGCATGACATGGCACGATTACAGATTTCCGAGGACATGGCCCTTGATAGGACGGTCAGGAGGTCGGGCATTAAGGTTGTAGGATAGAGTGGTAGTCGAGCTTCTCCTTCTCCATTCCTGGGGTGAAGCAAGTTTGAGTAGGTTGGTCCTAGACGGCTTGTGGTTGATGTAGAGTTCACACTAACGTTACTGTTTTCCATAGCTCTGGATCTTATTTGCGGTTATTGTTATTGCATGTCATCTATTTTATGGTTTTTAGGATGCTGTCATTATTTCTATGGTTATGTTGACAATACTGATGAATTGTCTTTTCTTTTCTTGTTATATTTCCATCTTCCTGAGCCGAGGGTCTATCGGAAGCAGCCTCTCTGCCCTATCGGGGTAGGGGTAAGGTCTCCGTACACACTACCGTCCCCAGACCTTACTTAGTGGGACATTACTGGGTCGATGTTGTTGTTGTTGATTTTCCAAAGCAAGTTAATCTTTCAAGAAGATTTGCCTCCTTGGTTAGATTCCGAGAGAAGCGAAAGGAGAGATGTTTTGGCAAGAAAATTAGATATAGTGTCAGGAAGGAGGTTGCTCAAAGGTAAAATGATACGCGTTGTTACTATTTTGGTTTTCTTTAAGATTTTACCCCGGCAATGATATTGAAATGGGAAATTCGGTGCACAAAGCATCCCGCATTCACGCAGGGTCTGGGGAAGGGTTGTCCCTAAAAGGGTGTGATGTAGACAACCCTACCCTAATGCAAGCATCCACGGCTCGAACCTGTGACCTATAGGTCACATGGAAACAACTTGACCGTTGCTCCAAGGCTCCCCTTCCTAGCAATGATATCTGACGGTGTGAAATTGTTAATAATAAAAATAATAAATAAAAGATGATATTGGTTTTTCAATCATAAAGAACGGGAATTGCTGTTTGCGCGCTTTCTTTTGATGTTCTTTTTAAACACTCTTTCATGTCCAGGTGTTAGTAACATGGTATCAATGTCATTTACAGATGCTATTTTTCCAATTTCACATGATTTCCGTTTGTCCTCAAATCTTCTTTTGTGATAGAATTCATATAGTGATAGAACTCATATAGTAATAGTGTATTTACAAGATCGGTTCTTTGGTTGATATGCAATCAGCCAAATGCTCATCTCTTCTTTTAAGTTTTGGATTAGGTTCCTGTCTGTGTCGATGGTTTCTCATGCTAAGATTTTGCATATATTGGAAGCCGTAGTATTCATCCAAACTGAAAATGAAAAGGACAATAATTTTGATCTGAACTGGTAGCATGTCTTTATGAGAGGAAACATGGATTTTGGTCGATTTGCTTTGGAAAAGTAGAGCTTAAAAGAATTTGTCCCTGAAAGACTGAAACACAGTGGCTTTTCTTCTCCTCCCCCCTCCCCACAAATAATAATAATAATAATAAGAAGAAGAAGCTTCAAGAAAAATTTGAAGCAACTTATTTTTTTAGTTTAACAAGAAGCAATTTCTGGTATAAATGTCGAGCTTTTGAGTATCACTTACTTGGCGATGTATATTAGGATGCATCGGAAGAATGTTCAATTTGCATCTTTTTACGACTTTTATTGCTTCAGCCTCTACTAACTGATCTACTTCTGCTCTGACCGCAAAAGTGCCAATCTTTTTTCCTGCTTGATTCTTTCTGAATAATTAGTCCTGTAAAGTGTCACCATTGTGGCGTGAATGAAAATTGTACGCTAGCAATGCGTCGTGGGCCAGATGGACCAAGGACACTCCGTAATGCATGTGGACTAAAGTGGGCAAACAAGGTATGCAAGACAATCTTTTCTTTTTCTTCATCTTAATGATCATGAAGTTTCCTGATCTTTTGGTTCTTCGCACAATTTTCTTCTTATTTCGTTTGGTGGTGGGAAGTTCAAATGAACTGTTATTTTCACCTACATTCTGGGCCAAATACTTTAAAAATTGCGGCAAGCACCAAATGGATTTGTTTTCGCCTAATCAAATCAGCTGATTTGGATGTATAGGGAACATTGAGAGATCTAAGCAAGGGAGCGAGGAAAATATCTGTTGAACCAAAAGAACTGGTATGTTTCATCAGCAAGAATGAGAAATTTGTTAGTGGTGTGAAGAACTATATTCCTACATGCTATATCTAGTATACTGTTATTTGGCTGTGTATACGTACTATTTCTCCTTCACAAAAAGGACCCCCTGAAAATGTTAACTCATTCATCCACCTTAGTGTTCCTGATACATTAGAAAATTGAAGTTTTGTTTTTTATATGTGGGAGACATCCATGGATGTCACACGTCCAATTTAGAAGGTAAAAACTTCTCCCGTTGCTAGGATGAACATATATGGAAGCACTTTATTACAAAATACTCTCTCAGGCATCTTATGCTGCTTGCAGGGAACTCCTGACAATCCCATGAAGGCCTTTGCTGAAGGATCTCTTGATCAGTGTGCTGATGTAGAAAAGGTAAATTTTGATTTTGTTCAATTATGTGTACGATGTTATATATTTTCTCATATGCTATATTCTAGCACACACTCTTTAATAGTAACGGTTGAAATATTTCCTCATAGGTTATATTGTAGTACACATTAAATTTAGATTGAAATTACACTGAAGTATGATGATAAAACTTAAAAGAAAGGTTGAGCGAGAAAGAACATCGAATTCACTTTATGAGTTTCAGTAACAAATATTTAATAAGTTTGTTTGGTTCTAATTCCACTGTCCCAATCTGTCAATAAAAATAGGATACTATAGCAGTGTTATTTTTATAGTATGCTTTCACCAATTGTCCAACTGATTTTCTTTTGTCCAACTGATTTGAAGCTGTCATCATATGGCTTAAATTTCAACTTAACCAATTATCCAGATGGTGTCTATTTAATCATTTTGTTGCAATGATGCTCTACCATTTGGGTGTCACATGGGAGTACATTACTGTCTTGACACTGGATGAGGATCTCAACATGAATACTTTGAATGGCAATAGACAACTCTATTTTTAATTAAATGTTTTTACCTTACAGTATTTTTGCTGTTTTTGGTTCAGAATCTATTCGGCACTGGGAGCAATCATGCAAATGAGATACCTGTGGGTATCACTAGTCCTTCTAGTAATCTTGTTGAGCAGGTAAGAGTAGTTTAAGAGCTATCACAACCTTATTATCACTGTTTTCTTTAATATTATTCATGATAGATTTTTTGAATCTTTTTATTCGAAATGATTAGAATGCATTTTGTCACTGAAATCTTGGATCTGCAGGAAACTCTAGTTGATATTGGAAATGCTTCCAAAACTGAAATTGACATTCCTGCAAATTTTGACTAGTAAGTTTTGATTCTTTAAGACACCATTAGCCGATATAAAGTAGCTCTCCTTGCTAATATTTGAAACCTTGCACAGGTTGACAGCCCGTAATTATTGTTGTAACATACCCCGATTGCAGTGACATCTCCTTTTCCAGAGAGATATTACCATTTCAAACTAACCCTGTTAATTTGGAATGGATGCAAGTGTAAGTGTTGATGCTTGTAATGAGTAAGTAATACTATAGGTGCCTAGCCAATTCATACTAGTGTGATTAATCGCTTCCTGTACATCCTGAGCTAGTTGGAATTCTACACCTTCGTTGTATACTAATGGTGATGATCTCGTGTTTCTTTCAAAATCCTTTCTTTATTGCATAGTTTTACTTGGTACTTCTGGGATTTAATAACGAGTAATACTTGCTTCAAACCACCTGTAAGGACAGAGATTATTTCTACTTCATCCCGACTTGATTGATCTATAGAATCGGAACATTCCTTGTGCATATAGGTGGAGTATAATTAACTATGTTTTCTGACTTAGCTGCATCGTACCCAGATCAGTGAATGATGATCATCTCGTTTTGCTGGTGATAGACTTGGGTTTTAAAAATTGAGTGTGCCCCCTCTTCTCCCAGATAGAAAGGAAATAAGAAGTTAAAACTGAACTTTAGATTCTCTTTTTATTTTTCATCCAATTTACCTGATTATCAAGCACCTGACCCTCAGTTACACCCATAATTGTTTCTTTTTTTCCTCCTCTTAATAAGAAAGCTTCTACAGTACTTCTTTTTAGCTGAAATGCATGGAGACAGTGAACCCAAGCTCCCCCCTCCATGGCAGTGCAAAGTTAATATAGATACACATGCGCACTAAATCTGTACCTGTTGTCACAAAGCCACCGTGGGTATGGTAGTGTCCACATTCTACTGATCTAAAGTCTTGAATCCTGTCTCTAAATAGGATTAGATATTTTAGTCTTGTTCTACCCGTGGGTCGACACTTCATGTTAAGTCCATTGACCCCAGCTCCTTACATTTCTGAGCAACATTGGTCTTCCTATATGAGATTGTTCCGCGCTAACGAGAGTACCAAAGGAACTCATTTGACTGAGGCAGAGATGCTATTCCATTCAGGATATCTTATTTGTTCTTTTGCAAATCATATTTAATGTACAATCGACCGAATGTTGAAGTAATGCAAGTAAACGAAATTGCCATTTAAAGTATACTTTGCATATTTTGAAACTACAATATATATTACCAGTTGTTCTTCTCCGTTCTGAAATGTTACAAATTGTCTTACAAGATTGTGCTCAAGATTATAGTAGAATCTCAAAAATCGTCAAATGACAGTACTAAATGAGCAATAAACTCCAGTACAAATTAAAATTTGGGACTTAGAATTGTGTATTTTTTCCCTTCTCAAGGACTTGAAATTGTTTTTACGAACTTAAAAGGTAAAGGAAGAAAAGTGTTACATCAGTTCGGAAACAAGACTATTGTTGTGCGTAGAACTAGCAGCGGTTCTTGTTGCTTGAGCCGAGTCTTTATTGGAAAGTTCTTGTCACCTACAACTGCTCCTATTCCAATCCTATAAATTCAACTTTCTTTCTGACTATTTTTGTTGGTAGCGGAAGTTCAACTATGACAGGGTGGAGTAATGCTTCTGTTTAATTAAGCTTCTATTTTCTTGTAGCTATTTTAATGGGTGCTGGTTGTTTAACGTAGTTCTTTTTTCGTTTATACACTTCATTTGCTTTAAAATAGGTCTGTTGTTATATTGTAATGTCTAATAACCTTTATGAAACAAAATATGTATGTTATTATTTGTGTTTCTCTGATTTCAGGAAGATTCGAAATGACAATTTATAAGCTCCTCATTGAGCAATTAAGATAGTAACGAACAAACTCAAAAAAACATGGCAACTTCACATCAACAAAGTAACTCATTTAAATGATCATTTGAAACAGAAAAAAAAAAGCTTCTGCCATGTCCATAGTTAATGTTTCTTACAAGCTGTAACCACAAGGAATGATTTAATTCTCTCTAACATCAAAGTGGTGTTTCACACGTTTTAGTTTAAATAATGATTGATAGCTTGTATTAGTGTTATTTTCTTTCGACTCGTGAAAGAGGGAAACCTTTCAAATGAAGAACTTGAATCGGCACACAGAAGTCTGTTAATAATGCAAGCAAAGCAAGCAGAGTAGGAATGATACACTATTTCTTTGTTCGGATGATGAGACTGAAGAGTTGGAATTTCATTTCTATTCTATTTCCACTATTACAGTGCAGAAAACTTTTTTCAGGGAACACATATTCTAACTCTATTCTGTGTCTACTGTACATGTAGTAGCAACTATTGATTACAAAAATTATGGACTCTTACGAGTCCTAATGTCGTTTGTGTTGGGTGCTATAATAATCTATAAATACATACAAGGTTAAAGAAGAAAAGAACGACTATAACTAAAGGGACTCACCTTTGCTCTATTTCCAGGATGAATCCAGAGCTCTAAGAAGGCATTGAAATGTTAATAATTGTAGACTTCTGCATATTCTCGCAATTCTTGCCTGTTCTTATTTTGGAACAACATGTAGGCATCTCATACTGTCTAAGCAGGAGACAAGGATCTCAGCAAATCCTAATCAATTGGAATTGCTATAATAGCAGAATGTTGTATATAACTGAAGATTGTTCCGATCCACTTTGGATCCCATAAAATACGTGCTTTCAATGTCTTCAAGTTCAGCTACTCGTGGAAATCCTCTTAATTAAGGCGAAGATTCACTTGATGAATCACTTTCAAATGGGGTGGTCTCTCTTGGTGATGAAGGAAGTGATTTTCTTTGTTGAGAAGATAAACCTGGAAAGAAAGACTTGTGTCAGTATCCAATATTACTGATACTTTGTAGCATAGCTTAAAATTAAATCGACCACACTGTCAGCCAAACTGGCCCAAAACCAGAGGACTAAAATAGCAACTGTGACTAAGCAATCTAGACATCATAAAATGCTGGGCCTATTAGAAAGCTATTAATGCCAGTTCTGCTGGCTTTAGCACAACAGAGAGCACAGAATGGCATCCTACATTAGTTCTTCCAAGAGGAAAACAATAGGACCATAAAAGAGAGAACAGGATACTTTCAACATGGAAAAAGCTCTGCCAACCTTTTGGTCCTCTAGAACGAAACTTCTTTGTATGCCGTCTAATGAGCTTCTTGGCTTTTGTTATGGTTAGTTGTCTGGCAAAGGGAGAGAACTCTGCCTCACTTTCACTCCAGTCACCAGGTATCTCATTTTCTGCTTCACCCCTCATTGTCCGAAGCACGAAAGCCCTGGCCTTTCTGCGCTGAGAATTGAAAAGGCCTTTTATAGAGGTGACAAAACCATCACCTGCACCCTCAGGGGGGCGCTTAGGCCAGGATAAAGGGTTCTGCTCGGATTTTCCGGCTGAACCACCATCACTATCACTGAGATTAAGATCAATATCGGGGACACCAGCAGCACCAGCTTCCCTTTGATTATGTGCTTTATCTTTAAACTTCTTGCACTGCATTAGTATAAAAGACATGGTCACTGAAGTGTTAGTCCTCTTGAGGTAGTCGATGAGTCTGGAGATACTTATTACCGATTATCATACAGCAACAGATAAAGATATTTAATGTGGTCAAATATTGAATGATTACAGATAATGGAAATTGGAAAAAGATAATTTCAAAGGAACTAACCTGCATTCCTGTTACTGATTTTAGGACTCCCCATATGATGTGTTTCTTAACTCTTGAGAATAGCCTCCGCCAGGTTCCAGTAAATTCAACACGATGGAATGTATCCATCAGTAATCTTAAATCACTCACAGCAAATCTTGATCCTTCATATGTAACAAGTAACTCAACCTAGTTCATGCATATCAAACATGTATTAGTTCCGAAAACAAACAAACTGACGAAGCTACAATAAGTTATTAGCCCACATAATGGACTGACCTGACTAATCTTGATATTGTGGAACTCTCTCATTCTTCGAGGCCTAGATTTTTTCTCATCCTGTGCCTTGCCCACCTTTTTCTCTTCATGAGAGGAGCGACCAGACTTAATTAGTTTTGATTCTTTGGATTTGTTTCTGTTACCTTCATCTGGCTGCTCAATACCGGCAAAGGGCTCACTTGTTGAAGAAGTAACACTTGAGGAGTGCATTTGCAGCATAAGTTCATCAGTAACAGATTCAGCAACATTTTCTTCGCATGTTCTATCAAAGGATGATGTTCGTCTTAGCTCAGGGGTTGAGCCACAAACAATATTAGCTTTTAAGTTCTGCAACTTTGACACCTGCAATATTCAGGCAAGATAAACACATGTTTAATAAAGAGAAAAATGTGAGAATTTCGATAAAAGAAAATTAAGCATCAATGCTGGAGAATTTGCCAATTGGTAAGATAAACTTTAGCCCAAAGGGATATAAAGCCACCCTTCACATATCTAGCTAAGAAGTAACTAACAGTTAATGGAGGATATGGGACTCACTTGGGAGGAATCGCCAGAAGAGGGAAACTGACTTGCAGTTGTAACTGGTAAAGTGGAGTTGCTTGATTTGGCGCAGACCTGAGGATCTTTTGTTAGATGGTTACTTGACACTGGTGCTTCTTGAATTGATGAGCCTTTCTTGGCACGCCTTGAACCAGCAGTAGTTGAAAACTTCTATACTTCCGTTAAGAAACAAAACATTTAGCAACAATATCTAGTCAAATGGTTTATTTTATGAGGAAAAACTTATTAGCGCGTATTTCCGACAAATGGACATTAGACACACCTGCCTGCGCTGGGAGTCTTGCTCTTTTTCTGGGAAAAAGTACTCCCACATCATTCTATACATTGTCTCAGTCAAATGTATCTTCAAGGGTAAATCTCCACCTGTGCAACGAAGGAATTTAAACAGGCTATGAAGTATGATAATAGAAAAGGCAAAAATTTCAGAAAAGGGTTAATCTCTCACTCAACTGCCAGCAAATATTTTTGGCATGTTATTCAGTGTGAAGAATGCAATGACCAGCACAGTGCTCAGAAGTGTAAAGTTCCCGAATCTTACAACTTATCCCTCTCAAAAGGAAGAAAAAACCTAAAGTTTCAAAGTACTTATCAAAAGAAGCATTACTACCTGGAATAGTTCGAGAGGATAGTTTCCATCTTTTGGAGCCCCCCGCTTAGCATCTACTCGAAGCATCACTTTTCTGTAGCCATGACAAGTGAGACTCTATGGTCAGAACTAGCCACTGAAGTAAATATTTAAATGTGTGATCCGTTTCATCACCACACCCAATTGCCTAAATATGCAGAATTGAGTACTTGAATGAGATCACATGATAATTAGGAGAGGGAAATCAATAACAAAGCAGATGTTAAAATGTGTGATCCGTTTCATCTAAAAACTCAGACTCTTAGACAAGGATTACTTTATTTATTTTAAGTTTGTAACACGTCCCCTAACGTGGGGGCTAGATTCTTTTATGACCATGCACGTGGAAATTTTATGTTGATGGATGGGGTTAAGACTTGGGCCAAGGACCTCTGTGACTAGATTGTAAGATACCATGTTAAATTGTGTGAATTATCTCATTTAAAAGCTTTAACTTTTAGAAATATGATATTTTTATTTTAGTTATTTTATGTCTGAGATAGCAGAGATAAGCAGTTTACTAAAAAGATGGGTTTAAGTGCAGAAGGCCACTTTTAGAAAAGAAAGGAGCAAGCTAAGTGGACCAGAGAAAGAGAGTCTGGTATAGCAAGCTGTGTCAAGGTACTCAGAAATGGTCGCAGATGCAAGGTTGTCTCCAACACAATCAAATTCAATTTTTGCAATTTGTAGATGTACATTAGAGGAGCCAGTAGAAAAGTACCAACACCTATGGTTGCCAAAGATATGTAGAGAAATAATCATCTCAATTGCAAGTTGAGAGAGAATACCAATACAAAACTTTAAAGGACAAACATTGATACGAAATAAAAATGGGAACCCCCACCATGGCCCCCAACCCATATAAAATGGAAGCATAAACTCTATACAGTTTAGATGTGCAAAAAGGAGCAAGAGACAGCGCAGGAAATAAACTGAAATTGTTGCATACTTTTCCCATTTAGTAGGAGGATTCCGTGCTGATAGAAGCATATCATACTTGGCATTTGGGTAGCAGTTTCTCACAACAAAATATTTTGTTGTGAATTTAGCAACCCCAACATCTTTGTAATCACGGTCAAAATCATATATCTGCATTAAGAAACAGAAGATTATATTCTTTCCTTCTGACTCAAGTGATTCCAATTTTAAATAGGAAAAATAAATTTCTAAAAACAAAAAAGAAGTAGGACGGTTAAGGGGAATTCCGAAAGTTATTAAACAATAAAACAGTTTTCTGATTGCAAGAAAACTTATTAAGGACCTCTGGGATTGCATGAACAATGACATGGGTACCTTTTTTTTCTTTTTGAGTAAGGTAACAGTATATTCATCAGCTCAAAGATTGTGCTGGAAACCATATTTACAAAAAAAAAAAAAAAAATTACATCATGTCCATTGTCCAACAAAGCATGGTACTTAACAGTTCCTAAACAATGAAACAGATTCTGTAGGCAAGATACTTGTTTAAAAGGGATTGCATAAAAAGGACATGACATTCGTTTTACCATGTAATGGTCTTAGACAAAACTGTAGAAAAAACTGACAGCCTGACATTGTGTTATTGGAATCCATTTCCATCTAAAATGACTAGGACCAGCAACACATTATCTCATGAAGCCCTAACTCTGACACAAAAACAAATCTTTGGATGATGAAACCAAATTCGAAAGATGCGAAATTCATGGATTTTACAGCTGATCTTCACCCTTCAATAAAAGTTCTCCAACTTAGGGAATTATTACCATATTGTTTCCAGTTTTAACCCCTTCAAATAGATGAAACTTTGGCTACAGTTTACTCCAGTATAATTTTCTAGTTATTTATGCCTTCGACTGCTAAGTATTCTGACTCTTGTTTTTCTTTAATTGCTTCTTCTTTTTGTTGGAGAGAATAAAGCTGTACCATAACCAATATGAGATCACAAAGGGACAGCTTTAAAAAAAACATGAACTTTAACTTACGCAAGACCTAAAAGCCATTAATACATGTATGTTTATATTTGTTTCCTGGAAGATTGTCAGGAATATTGCAGCAGCTTGATATAAAATCCTACTGATAACTGATAAGCATTATCCTTCAACAGGTGTTACCCATCAAGACTCTTTACAGGAATTTAGCCAAGCAAGGATATACCAATAATACTGAAGCCATGTCGAGACTCACCATATCATTTATCTCAGCTTCAGCAAATGATCTTCCGTCCACAAGCATGCTCCAAACTACTTTATTAATTTGCAAAGAGATGCGCATAGCACAAGAAGGACTTTTGTTCTTTTCTTTCTCTATCAATCGGAGCTGCGCAGCTTTCCGTAGAGCCATCCTCAGAGATGCAGATGCTACTTTTCTGGATTTTTGAGCATTTACTAGATCTTTCTTCAGTCTTTGCACCTGCAGAATGTTACTTTTAATAATCCTTCAAACTTGATACACCTTTTATCCCTATTATTGTAATGAAATCTATACATTTCAAAGCAAAACTTCAAGAAATCTGTTAACTTCATGGTCTTCACTACCAAAATGAGACAAGTTACCATGTGCAAACTATCAGAAGTAGGGTGTGTGTGTCAAAATGAATGGGCGGTTGTGCTGCATATTGGGGCGTATAGGGGTTTTAGAACATGGAGTCTGCAAAACACACCCACTTTTGTTTAGGCTTGGACAGGTTAGGTTCAAGTGGGTAGATAGTCGACATCTGCTTGGAGCTACTTGCACATACCTTTTTTTGGTATCGAGTAACTATTTTCACCCCCAAAAAAAGAAGAAGAATTTCTTACCTTTGCACCACAAAGACTTCTATTTCACCAAAAAGTCAGTAAAACTGTCAAAATTCTTTACCATCTTTACATAATTACTTTCTTTTAAATTACACTGTTAATTGAACTCCTAAAAAACAAAAGGAAAATAAGGCAAATAACTATAATAGAGGCTCTCTAAACACCATTCAAGAAATGGCTTGACACACTGCCAGCATTTAAAACATAGACGTTTGAGAATGACAGCATTCCAAAGCAAACAAAAGGTCATACCCAGTCACTTTTCACCTGGAAATAATCCATATGAATCATCAAAAATTTGAGAAGGAAATGATAGGCATATGCAACTCAACTACAACTTTTCAGTGAAAACTTAACAGTAAAACTGAAATCAAGAGAAGAAAAGCCTTGACATCAAGGTCTTTCTTGGGCTTATTACACAAAACTATATTTGCATCACTATAGCACATAGGATGATTGCTTTAAAACCCACTAAAGGGAGAAGAGAAATCTCAAAGCAACCTGAAACTTGAATGAGAGAGGTGAAGCAAGCTTATTTCATGGCATGTACTCACAAAATTCGATAAATTGAAGTTGAATTGCCTATGATATGTGGAGAAAGTACGGTAAGAAAAGTCCAGCATTCATGTTTATTTTTTCATTTTTCGGCAGGTTTTCACGATCCATCATCATTAATATCCAACTCAGATAAATCATTTTTAGCCTATATGCATACATAATGTATTTTATAGGTAGTTGGACCAGTTAAGGACTCACAAAAATTGGTAAGTTGAAGTTGAATTGCTTGTGATATGTGGAGAAAGTACGGTAAGAAAAGTCCAGCATTCATGTTATTTTTCATTCTTCGGCAGGTTTTCACGATCCATCATCATTACTATCCAACTCAGACAAATCATTTTTAGCCTGTATGCACACATAATGTATTTGACAGGCAATTTGACCGGACAAAGCACATGATCAGATGAGGCCGTGATTGTTATCATTAATTGCCCCTCATATTACTTAAATAAGTCCGAAAAATGATAGTGCTCGGGAAAAGAGGAAAATGTAAAACCCCTTGATTCAACTGGAAGAACATTGGAAATTTGTAGAATCACGTAGTGATGGGACTGAGTTACTATTGCCAGAGAATTTGTGACCTCTTTGCCTGTTCTCACTAATGAACATGGAAGACAATAAAGGGATCAGCCTAGGTGAACAGTAAGTATTGAACTCTGCCTCAGGATCACCCGATTGACAAGCGTCCAGGCCCAACAAAACGGACACGATGTGAGAACCAAGGTATGTCGAGGAGAACAGTTAGTTAGCCCTTTCTGGGCCCTAATTCTCAATAGCTTCCAACACGGGATCTCAACTTTTCATTTCAAGCTAAACCATGGGCCGCAAGATCTGAAAATCTTGCCAAATTAAAAATCCTAGCTTTCCTACAGGATCTGAAAATCTTGAGGGGTAGGTTTATTCGATCGTTATTGAACTTGCTAGTGATCTGGGGAGATCTATGAGTTGCTTTTCTGTGCTGTGAGACGTTATGATTTGTTGGATATGGGCACATGTGGTGCCGTTCTATTGGGGATTCATAGAGGAAGTCGAGCGGGAAGAGTAATTGGGTGTTGATCGGTAAATGGAGTATCGGTTATGACCTATCGGGTTGCGAGTCATATGTTATTTGTTTCATCGTGGATGTAATGAATTGCTTTGGTTCCAGACATCAAAATGTGCGTGGCTGTCAATTTTTTATCATAGTGACTTGAGGTGTTTCATGTGTAACAGTGTTTCGATATGATCGCGCATTATAACGGGGCTACGTGGAGTTATGACCCTTCGAGGTAGATTCAGCTGTTCTATTTCTACGATGTGAAACGGGGTCTCAGCCTTGTGTTGTGATGGTACTGATGAGCTTGAGGTACAACTCTTTCGTTTGAGTCATTTTTCATGATTTGAGAATGTTCAGATCGTTTCTTACTAGTGCGTGTATTATGCAAGTGGTGGCTTAGGCCAGTATCGAGGTGTCATATCACCAGACTGGTGTGATGGGTTCGAGGTGATCGTTGGGTCATTAATGAATACGAACAGATTTGATTTCAGCTTGTTAGAAGGATAATATCGAGGTTCGGCTCGGAAATCTGTTGAGGTATTAGTCAAGAGGGGAGTGGCTTCATGAGTGGTTGATCCGAGAAATGGTTATGGTTTGCTGCGTGTCTCATGTATCGTTGGCAGTATATGGAAGTGTTGGAATAAGACTTTAGCTAATAAGGGATTTTCTAGCGGTATTTGGTTGTTGTGGGCAACTGGAGTGAATAGGAGTTATCGTTTCGAGTGCTTGGATTATGTGGTATATCATATGATTTCACCTGAGGTTGCAGGTATGGGTTGTTACAGCTGGTTCGAGACTATTCAAAGTATAGGTGTGAGGTTTTGATCGCATTGATGGTTTCAGAAGTGAAAAGGTAGATCTACGATTTATGGGCCAGACTGGATTGTGTAATTTCGAATAAAATGTGTTATCGGACCTATATGAGATAGGGTGACGTGGGATCACCCCGGGCATATGCATGGTAAAGTTATTCAGCTATTGGATGGCCTCTAGAGCAACTCTGGGTACGCTCGAGGACGAGCGTTGGTTTAAGTTGGGGAGGATGTGACGACCCGACCCGTCGTCTCATGAGTTACCGCTCTGTTTCACCCATTTTATGCTTCTTCATGTTTTGTTATCGGTATGTGGTGTGTTAGAGTTGATTTGGATTGGTTTTGATAAGAAATGAGACCTTAGTCTCTTTAAGGAAGGCTTAAGTTGGAAAAGTCAACCGGATGTTGACTATTGTGTTAGAGGGCTCGGATTTGAATTCCGATGATTCGGTTAGCTTCGGGGGGTGATTTATGACTTAGGAGTGTGATCGGAATTTATTTTGGAGGTCCGGTGTAGAATTAGGCTTGAATTGGCGAAGTTAGTATTTTGGCGAATTCCGCTTGATAGGTGAGATTTTGATCCGAGAGTCGGAATGGAATTCCGAGAGTTGCTGTAGCTTCGTTAGGTGATTTGGGACATGTGTCCAAAACTTGAGGTCATTCGGACGTGGTTTGGTCGGGTTTTTGATCGAAAGTGTATTTCGGAAGTTTTTAGAAAATTAGGCTTGAATTCGATGAGTTTTGGGTAATTTGATGTTGTTTGAGGTGCTTTGATGATTGGAACGAGGTTGAATAATGTTTTAGGATGCGTTGGTGCTTTTGGTTGAGGTCCCGGGGGCATCGGGTGCGTTTCGGGTCAGTTTTGAGCGAGTACGGACATCCCGGAACTTAGAAAATGGATGGGGCAGTCATTTTCGCGCGGGCCACGCTGGCCTTGTGCTGGGCGCGTAAAAGTGATCGCGGCCGCGGTCATGAAGATCTGCAGGTCGCTGGTTCTATTTCGGATGCTCATATCTTTTGATCTACAAGGAATTTTGAGTTGGTTCAAAAATAAAAGTTATAGCTTTTCGTGTCTAGTTTCCAGAAAGATAAAGATATCACAATTTGGACATCTGTAGCGAAAGTTATGGCCAAAATACTGAAGCCTGTCACTGCAGTCAAAGTTGGCGCGGCCGCGTTCGTCTTAGCGCGGACCGCACTTGTTTTGCGCGGACCGCGGTCATTTTTGCGCGGCCGCGGAGGTGAAAATCTGGGGCTACTCTATAAATACGAGGTTTTGGGTTCTTTTTTGATATTTTGACCTAGAGAGCTCGGATTTTTGCGATTTTTTGAAGGTTTTTCAAGAAACTCATCGAGGTAAGTGATTCTAACTCACATTTGGCTAAAGTACATGAATCTATCATTGAATTCATCATTTATTTCATGATTTGGGATGGAATTTGGGGAGAAAATTGGTGAAATCTTCCAAAATATAAAATGATGATTTGAAGGACCAAATCGTATCGGAATTGGATAATTTTGATATGTACAGACTCATGACGAGATGAGGAATCCATTGATGTGAATTTTATAATTTTTCGAGAAGTGGGCCCGGGGCTCGGGTTTTGCCAATTTCGTGATTTTCGATATTTTTCGAGTCTTTTCGATTGGGTTGTATCCCCTTAGCCTATTGTAATGCATTCCTTATGGTTTTGGGCAGATTCGACGCTCGAGGAGGTTGATTTGCGAGGCAAGGGCATAGCGAGCTAGGATTTCGGCCTGCTTGAGGTGAGTAATGGTTATAAATGATGTTCTGAGGGTTTGAAACCCCGGATTCGCACAACGTGGTGCTATGTTAAGATGAGACACACGCTGCATGATGAACGTGGGGTCTGATATTGCTGGAGATTCGGACCTGGTCCATCCCGATTGATGATTTTACCATATTTTTGACTGAGATTTACTTAATATCATTGTATTCTGGGCTAGTTGCCATGTTTGGGGCCTTGTGCCGATCTGTAGAACCCTTAGGGGTAGTTGTACTGGTTGACCTCACTTTACTCGTTAAAAATCATACCCTCAGTCATGTTCTTAACTGATAAACATAATATGAACCGACTTTAGAAATTGGTAACTCCTAATGAGAATGACTTGTGGGTTGGGAACCCTGTTTTAGTTGAGTGTGCCCGAGAGGCCATGTCTATAGTGACTGAGAGAGGTCGAGGACCCCATAGTGAGGGTATTTGATATATATCGGATCGGGCTGCACGCCGCAGCAGTATATATACATATATGGATCGGATTGCACGCCGTAGTAGTATATATTATATGGATCGGACTGCATGCCGTAGTAGTATATTATATGGATCGGACTGCACGACGCAGTAGTATATTATATGGATCGGACTGCACGCCGCAGTAGCATACTATATGGATCGGACCGCACGCCGCAGTGATATAGCGCTTGGGTTGTAGGAGCCCCTCCGGAGTTTGCACACCCCCTGTGAGCGCAGTCGACTATTATTATTGGATCGGACTGCACGCCGCAGCAGTATATGTGTATATATATATATGCGGATCGGGCTGCACGCCGCAGCAGTATTCAGTACGGATCGGGCTGCACGCCGCAGCGGTATAATCATACTATCGGTTATTGTCAGAAGTAAAAGAGTTGAGAACCGGTTTAAGAGATGTTTACCTCACTTCTTCATTTACCTGCTATTTGATGTACTTACTGTTTTATATAGAACTGCGTAGTGTTTTTACGAGTTTTCTTCCCGTCAGTCGTTATTTATTGCTATTACTCACTGAGTCGGAGTACTCACTTTACTCCCTGCACCATGTGTGCAGATACAGGTATCCCGGAGGCATAGTTGAACTTTCAGCTGCTATTCAGATTTCACCGGAGTCATCGAGGTAGCTGCACGGCGTTCGCAGACTCGATTTCTCCCTCTATCCTCTTTACTTTCAGCACTTTAGACTATCTTTTGTATAGGCTGTTCCTCAGACTTGTGTAGAGGCTCTTGACTCGTGACACCAGATCGGTGGGATTTGTATTGATATTTTTTTTTCTCTTAGTTCCCGCACTGTTATTATCTATTGTTGCAGAGTTACACTTATGTTAATCGACATTACATCATGTTAATTGGGTATAAACTTTATAAAAGGGATTGTGAGTGTCGGAATGGTCGGGCTTGCCTAGCATTGTGTTGGGCGCCATCACGACCGGGATTGGGGTCGTGATATCGAATTTACGGGGTGTTACATAACCGTGCACTTCCCCCCTTTTTTTCCTTCCAAAAGCTTGGCCAAACACCTTAATTTTTGCCAAAAATGCTTTTGGCCAAGAAAAACACTTTTGACCCAAAAAATAGCTTGGCCAAACAGGCTACTAATCCAAGATCTTCTCCGGATAATCCTATTATATATTACCCCCACTACACTTTTATCAGCTATACACTCCCCTATAGCTCTACTGCATCACAGCCACCAATTTTCCTTCTAATTTGTTGTCAAACGAATTAGCGGCTAAAATCAACTTAATGTCGAATTTAGCTACACCCTGTTGTACTGGATCATAGCTAATTTAATCAATAGTTCAATACTCAAAGTGGAACATATTAAAAAATGCCAAATAAAGTCTCTTTAAGGAAACACTAATGGCAGAAGCTGTAATATTTTCCAATTTTAGGATGCATTTTGTTAAAACGAACATTTGTCTCCTTCACACTTTCTTCCTCTTCGTCCATCATTTTGCTGTCTGTAGCTGAATTTTGATCATGAAATTCGAATGAAAATATCATCACAATTACTTAAGAATTCATATATTTCTTATAAACGAAGATAATTCGGAGATTTTTTTCTTGTTTGTGAAAAGATGATTCTTTTAATTATGAAATTAGAGTGATTTTGAAGGATTAGGTTTTCAATTTTCATGGTGTATATATAGATATATAGAGAGAGTATCATGATGGCGGCGAATCCACGGCCACTGCAGTCGCGTTTGTACGAAGATCACGCGCTGTTACAGTCGATACAGAGGGAGGAGGAGGATGACGACGGCACGTATGAGGTTGATGGAGGTGAAGAAACTATGGATGAGGCGGAGGAAATACGAACGAAGTTTTAAATCACCATCAATATGGGGGAGGTGGTGGAGTTGTGGAAGTTTCTAGAAGTAGTGAGCTTACTCTTGCTTTTGAAGGTGAAGTGTATTTTTTTCCTGCTGTCACTCAGGAGAAGGTACCTTAGTTTCTATCTTTAAGAAAGATATTTACTTTCTTTTTCTATTTTCTCTTTTTGGAAGTTTCCATCAAATCATAGATTCATTGCTTTAAATTAATGCTTTATACAAGTGACTTGTCGTGTGCAAATGTAGGGAACTCTGCGTATACTCTTTAGCTACTTTCGTGCTCGATGAATTTTGCCATAATTGTGTTATTGCTATTTATTGATTAGTTTAAGTATGGTAATTGTTGAAGCCTGATTAAAGAATGATTGGGACAAAAATTGAATCTTTAACTCTTATTTATTAAAAAACTAGTTGGAGATTGCCCGGGCTGAGCCCGGGCCCGGGCCCAAGACCTTATTAGTTTTTGATTTACAGCTCGTTTGGATGGTTGTTCCTCGTTGTATCGTATTGTATTGTTATCCCAAAACAATGTTTGTTTTGATTGTTTCATTAAAATTGGTTGTATTGTATTGTTAAATCCATTGTTCCGAAACAATGAAAAGTCCCCTTTTTTGAAACAACCGATTTGGTGTGGTGAGATCGTTTCCTATTTTTCTTTCCAATTATACCCTAACTTATTACTCCACAATTCTATTTTACCCTTTACCTTTTTTCTATTTTAACTCCAAGTCTCCAACTTCTAACCTACTTTGTTTTTTTCCGGTACTTCTGCCGCCAACGTTAAAGGTGTGCCGCCTTCTATTTTACTTTTTCTCCTAATTTGCTTTTAACTCAATTCTAATTAGTTGTGCTCCTTTGTTTTGCCTTCTTCTGTTCTGCTTTCTTAAGGTGTTTTGCCTTCTTCTGTTTTATTTTTTAAAAATTATTTTATGCATAATTTTTGATAAATTCAATATTTAAATAATTGAGGGTATTTTAGTAAACTTATCAGTTACAGTACAGTACGATACGGTCAAATCAAACAGCAAAATATTATTTAACAATGACAAACAATACAATCTATTCAAACATCGTATTCATAAAAAGATACGGTACAATACGATACAGTACAATACAATACGTTATAAAACGACGGGGAACAATGATCCAAACAGATTGTTAATGTATAGAACTTCTATTCGCTGATCACGAAACAGATTTGAACAAATACCATATAATCTGATTTAAAATGTTGCAAAACTAAGAACACAATTGATTAACTTTTAAGTTGCATCAAAAGTCAAATGGAATGAAACGAATCTAAAATATATTGTGCAAGCATCGAAATCAATATGTGATTCTTCTTGTTGCTGCAATTCAGGTCCCTGGTAGTTTTCGTCCTCTTAGGAAGCAGAATATTTTTGCCTAATATCCGAGACAATAAGCTGATCCAAAAAATGCAATAGTAAAATAAGTCTTAGCACGTATGTGTAATACAGATCATCTGAATTGGCGAAAGTAAGAGGTAGCACATATGCATAATACAAACCATCAAGTAATATTCTTATTTTCTGTATGTTGCAGCAGAGTCTTTTTGGTTTTCTTCTTTTCTTTCTGTAAGGTAAGAGGAGAACTACATTAGAATAAAATATTACAAAGAAAAGAGCTATACATCAAATCTCAGGCCTATTAAGTGCAAATGATAGAATGATGCCGTGATCTAATAAAATAAAGTTATTCATTTGAACTTCTAGGAATAGTGGCTTCACAGTTAGTAGATTAAGTGTTTTCTTAAACAGTGAGCAAATATCATTCAAGTGAGAACTTTAGATCAGCTGTAGAGTTCAAATTTCATATGAATCAGTTCAAGAATAGCAAACCTTTTCGCTCAGTACATGACATTTATGAGTACCAAAAAGGTAAACCAACTTCAATTCACAAAAAATAGCAATCCAATTTGGGAGCCTCTTCTCCTTTGTTTCACCGCGAATTAAAGGACTGATGGACAGAGTTCAAGAAATAAAAATATTGTATTAGTAATGAGGATTTGTCCGAGTTAGTGAACAGTCAGTTTAATTATACTGCTGGAGTAGACATCTCAGAGACATGAGGCTTCAGCGATGAACTCTTCTCGCATGAAAACCAGCAACATAACAGAAATAAGATGAGAGAGCACACACATACACATATGCAGAAGAGAGAGGTCTGAACCAACATGAGTTCAAGCAGTTAAGTTGATTAAGAAACCTGCAGAATCTAATTTTTATTACCATGTACCAAGTGTGAACAAAACTTCTAGTGAACTGAAAAGATAAAAAAAAGCCAGCAGACCCGCAATAAAAGCTCATCAAAGAGCCCGGAACATAAACAAAATTTCTATGTTGCTATATGTTAGGTAAAGTTTAACATAGTACAATGTCTAATGAACATATTTGACATTTTAGCTTTATGATTTTAGCACTTACATGTAAATTCTTAGAATAATTTTTGTTGATACGAAAATAGTTGTCTTCTTCTAAAGTTGATGAAAAATGATAGGAAAACTTAAAGGAGCAAATTGCATCTGGAGTCAACAAATGGATGGCTCAAGTATAAATTTTTAGTCAAACTTGCCTTAAGATTGAGCTCTGAACTTGATTTTGCAAAATAAAAACTTACAGGGAAGTTCTCGGTAGACAAATGGGGGAATTGAAACTTTATAGTGTACTTAAAAAAAATACTATGAAATTTAAATGCACTAAAAATGTTACAATGCTGGAAGATGAGAAGTTGTTGAAAGAAGCGAAGATAGTGCAGGAAATGACGTCAAAATTACACTTTCCAGAGGCTGCTATTTACTTGCAAAAAGGCCAAAGAAATTTGAGAAGTAATGTAAAAGCTATCACGGCTAAAAAGAAGAGGAGTATATGGTTAAATCTTGAAATTGTCGCGTTGCCTGTTTTTCTATGTTTTTTATGCTACCTGTGTGATTGATGCCCTTTTCATTATCTCTAATCTATAGCAATATTTTTTTGTAATAACTAACTCAGAATATAAAGAAAAAAATATAGATATATCAAAAGCATGACATTCTTTACCACCACGAGGTTTTCAGACCTATTGAGATATTGGTGACTTACTTGACTCACTTATCTAATATGCTCAAAAACCTAGAGAAATGTTGTATGCTATGAGTGCAACCCATTTTTAGATGTTACTTTGTAATCTTGCTATTCTAAACCATGAAGTAGTTGAAATCACTGGACAGGACCATCCGCTATTCTTGAGAAAGAAATAAGGAAAGAGGCAGGAAAAAAAAGTAGAAAAAATAAATACAACTTGTATCCATAGACATAACCTGAAAGAGACACTACTCATAAATTAAAGATACATCACAGAGTGTCTCTGAGTTACGAAAAATTGCAGCAAACAAATGGACAGAAAAGAAGAATAAACTTGCATGAACAGCCACAATGTTAAAACACCTTGACCTAAAATGAAGCGTAATATATAGCAATTCAGAAAAAACTGGGAAACTAAAAGAATAAGCGAAATATAATTTTCTAGTTTGCCCATATCTTAGTTATTCTACTAATTTTCACTCAAAAGCATAAATTATTTTCAGCAGGTACCTGAGATCAACATAAAGCAGAAGATATTCTAGTACTGATTTGCTACTCAATAATTTCCTATCCAGGAACTAGACCTCATACTTATTTCACTAATCAAAAAGAGGTTCACTTCTAAGAAAAACTCTTAAGTTGACCTCTAATCCAAAGATGCAGAAATTCTTTAAAGTTTTTCTGGAATTGCCACAAATGGACTAACTGAAAATATGAACCCTATATTGAAGCAGAACAAGCCTGATAATTAGTTCCACAAACTCAACTTATCTACTTGTTAGCAAGTTTAGACATGGATTGCTCATTTCACAAATTAATTTTCGAGTATTAAATGACCAGCTGATTCCAGACGTGCATATTTAAATCGCATTTAATTACTTAGCAAGCCTACTTCCATTATCAACAACTACATTCTTTTTTGAAAATTTCTTTCAATCGTTCCTGATTTAAAAATATTCTTTCATTCATTTATGATGCAGATGACTATGTGAGCTATAATAATTTCAGCAGGTTTCTATCTTGTTTGAAGTTAATCTCTTTGGTTAACTTCTACTAATTTTAGCTGAAGTAATCAATCTAAAGAAAGTATACAGTCATATGCTGCCAAATTACAATATGTTTTCACAATATCTGATATTTTAATGGAGAGCAAACCATTGTCGAACTTATCTTTTTTTCATGATAAATGTTCATCTTGACAATTATTCTCACATTTTACTGGAATTAGCTTATAACATGTCACTTGAGGCCAGTGTGAAGTTAAAATAAATCTGATGCTCTCAAAATCTTATATCTAAATAAGACAACATGAAAAATCTGTAGCAAATAGAGTACCAGATCTACTGGAAATTGAAAACATGAATGTAAGGGAAAAAAATATCTTACCAAATCAGCCTACTTCTTGAGATGGAGAGACCGCAAGGATAAATTACTTTTCTGTGTAATCTGCAAGTTCAATGAAAATTTTTGTTTCTTTAAATAATTTATCAAACATCTATAGCGTTTTACCTAAGGACTTTTACCCAATTCTTCTTCAGTAAAATCTTGCGCGCAAAAAGAAGTGGAGGAAAAAAACTGAAGCTTCAGTTACAACATCAAATAGTTACCCAAAAGTCCAAGAGAATGGTCCGATAAAAACAATAGATTTTAGATTAAAAAGTTCATTGAGTGTCACCTATTACATGTTAGCACACAAAGTTGACGGAGAGCAACATGTGTTTCCGCTAGGTTTTACAATCAATTTTGATACAGCGAATAAAAAGGCAAGTGAGGTCAGTTCCCAATTAATATTTCACTTTTTGATTTTCTGATGTGTTTGATTTTATTACTCCATTAAGCTTTGGCTTTAATGGTTTCAGCAAATGTCAGATCCTAGAAACATATGAAAGATGAAAATCATGGTACAAGAAGTAGAAGATAAGAAAGAAGGATAATTAGCACAATAATCCAACGAAGTGCAAGAAAAAGAGCAAGCGAAAAGCAGACGGTATAACTTGTGATAAATCATAGATTAGAAGGAGATTTACTTTTCAAGTATGAACAGTGTGTTAGGCTAACCTGTGCGGCGCCGATTTTTTTGAGGGATATACACGTAGATTAAAATATTTACAGTTTTCCCAAAGTAACCCTAAAAAACAGTTTCAGTCTTCCCAAAAAGCCCCTGACGACCCCAAGCTCCTCAAACTGTCCCTTATTAATAAGAGGAATAAGTATGATTTATTATTTTTGGAAGATTGTGGACTTGTGGTATCTCGCTACTTTGCACGTAACTTGACTAACCCATAGAGCAGCATACTACTGCCCACGAGGACAACCTTTGCTTGTGAGTGATAGAGCAGATGGGCAGGCGGACACTAAGTGTGTGGCTAAGATACCTGGGAACTTGTATGCCTTAACCTCAAATCATCCCCTTCAGGACATCTTTATGTCTTATTCCCTTTTAAGAAAACATTTTATCTTTAAATTTCTACTGCAGTTTTCTAATTTTAGGGACATGCAAAGCATCCGAAGAGAAGGGCTTCTTTACGAGGCATCTGCGTTCATTGTTACTTGGTTATCTTCGCTCTTTCAGATATGATCTGCTTCAACAGTTACTCTTGTTCAATATGTCTCTTAAAAGTGGCCTAAAAAAAGTCATTTATGTCCCGTAATCAGTAGGTTATTACTTTAAGGTATTCAGATATTTCTAGTGAATTGTATGATTCTTTAAGATTTCCATCTTCCTTTTGGTCCTTTGTCCCTTTGCCAGTCCAACTAAGACACTTTATAGAAACGGTGTCTAGCTAACTCTACATCCTAGGATAAGTTTGGATGTAGTAACTTGGCTGAGAATATCCTTCTACTGCACCCATTTACTAAGATGTTACTCTAGCTATTACTTGAGAATATAGTTGGAAAATTTTATGTCATTGCACCTTCTTTCCTGCTATATAAATTTATAAACTGCTGCTTCCTGCGATATGACTCTACTCAGCTCCTCAGATATAAAGAATCAGAAAAAGCCAAGAAATCTTGGGGTTTCATGATACAAACTATGAAGCAAAATACGGATATGACAAAATACGCGGAATCAACAATAAGAGCTCGACCTACAATTGATTTGAAGAACAAGAACCAATTAGGCTATGAAGCCTAATTACCTCTATGAACTCAATCAATTGTAACCATAAGCTATGAAAACTCTCAAGAGATTGACAACTCTTGAAAACCCGGATAAAGTAATTAAGAAATTAAGCATTCACTACTAATTGCTCACCAACTAAGACTAATTTAGCACTAATGAAAGCATAAACAAAGCAATAAAGGAATTAAAGGCATAAACATAATGCATTAATTAAAAGATAAGGAAAGAGTGTGAGACTTGCATGTCTTCAAGGTTTATCATTCATCAAGTCTACCTAAAATAAAAGCCTTAAGGGCTATTTATACTAGAGTGGGCATTTGGCTACAAATGACCCAAATACTCCTAAGCAAATTCTAAGGAGCTTAGTCAATTATTACAAGTATAGCCTTCTTGATCTTGACTCCTTTAAAGCACTCCAATGCTATGATGTTGACTTGGAAATATTTAGGCATGCTAATCCAGCATGTATCATCCTCCCCCACTTGAAAGAAATTCGTCCTCGAATTTGGACCTTGCAAAACCAAGAAAGAGGCAAACATAAGTACCAAGCCAATCACAATCAAAGTATTTTATGTCCAAGCTAAAAGATCAAAGATCACAATCTTGTACTCAAAAATGACACTCTTATGATATAGCCAAGTGTCATAATCTATAAAGAACACATCTCTATTACAAATGACACAAACTTGACTATAAGAAAAATAATACTCATGAGAAGAATTAAGAGAGTGTAAAGTTTCATGCTTCCAACAAAACCACAATATTGTCAAATCCTCAACAAAGTGCACACTTTTATGGTATAACCAAGTGTCATAAGAAGGAATAAAAATCATACTCTCCAACTCAAAGAAAGACACTTCACCATGATAAGAAGCAACTCCGGGGTCAAACACAAATTTTAATCTCCAAATATCTACACACCTTCCAACAACTTCACATGACAACTTAAGAGATATGCCATGCTCATCATGAATCATCATATAAAGAATATCATAATACTCAAAGTTAAAACTCTTTACCTCAATGGCCTTAGATAAACACAAAATAAGCATAAGCCAAACGTACATACCATTCTTGCTTTTGGGAAAATTAAAACAAAAAGCTCTTGATAAAAAGTATGCCAAAGTGTTAGTTCAAGGCCTTTCTTACCCTTAGAAACTTTCTCATGTTGAACCTTCACAAAACAATCAATAAAGTTAGGTTCTTTTTGCTCAAAATGGTCACTCAAAATACCAAAAGAAACATTCTTACCTTTTCTCATCGAAGCATTGGAAAAATCCAACGAGAATGTTCTTTCAAAAGTAGGAATAAGATAAGTAAAGCAATTAATACTAGTCCTAGCATCAAAAAATTTACTTTCCTTTTCACACTCAACAAAATCATCACATAAATATGCATAATAGTCATCAAGATCAAATACAAGAGAAGTTAACTCATTGGAATACAAATGGAAGTTTTTTTCTTTTATATTTATGTCATTAGAAGTAACTTGTTCACTCTCCAACAAGGCATCTCTAAACTCACATTTGCTCATTTCACCATAAAAATTGAATCTTTTTGCCAAAAGAATGAAAATAGAATCAAAAGAATCATCAACACATTCTTCTTGACTCATTTCTCCGTAAAGGTCAAAACTTTCTTCCAACAAAGTTAAAGTAGAGTCAAAAGAATCATCACATGCATCATCCCATAAAGGTGGGGTATCATAAGATTCAACATCACACAAATCACTAGCTAGGGATTCATTAAACAAAGAACTAGAATCATCCAGTAATGCGCAACAACTCCTAGCTAGTTGCAAGCCAAAACTATTTTTCTCATTGCAAGATAAAAAAGTATCAAATTCATCAATATCATAGCTATATTTCAAACTCAAAGTGTCACCACAATCAACTAAAGTATCACGAGTAGAAGGATAAGCTATGCTACCTTGAAGCTCTTCTAAAGTGAAATTCTCTTTACCTTGAACTTACTCATTAAATTTCAAAAGTTCTCTCGAAAACGTAGCTTGATCTTCTTCCAAGTTCATCAAAGTAGATTGAACTTCACTTAATGGCTCACCTCCAAAAGTTCCTTCACAAGATACAAAACAACTAGAGAAAGAAGAAAGGTTGTTAGCATTAGAATAAGGAAAAATTTCACTCTCTTTTTGTTTTCCTTCTTTCTAGTCTCTCATTTTCTTTTTAAGCTCTTCACTCTTTTCTTGTGACAACTCACTCACTTCACTCCATACTTTCTCTCCTTTATCCACTCTAGAGTTGTCACTTTTCTCTCCCTCACTACTCTCTATCTTTTGTCTCTCATCCTTACTTTTTCTCTTTGCATTTTTCAAGGACGTTCTCAAACTCATTTGGCCTCTTCCCCTTTGGTTCACTTTATTCCCCCTATATTTATCATGGAAAACTTGTTGGATGTTGTCCAACTCATTCAAGGTGGTCTCATGATCATATTGAAAAAGTGGGTTGTTAATCATTCGAGGCTCTTGAGGTGGTATGGGTGGTGGAGGAGGGAGATTGTCCCTCATTGGTGGTGCTTGAGGCATACATTGGGGAGGTAAATTCATTGGTGGTCTAGGTTGGGTCATTTGGGGTGGTGGTATTATGGGTATGTGTACTTGAGGTCTAAATGGTGGCTTGTGTTGGTTGTTGGTAGGTGGACGGTAGTTTGGTGGAGGAAAATAAGGTCCCTTTGGTGGAAGTGGTCGCTTTGGTAAGTTTTCTGGTATTTTGTTGGGTTGGTTGTGTTGCAAATTTTTCCTTTGAAGCATTTGTCGCACTTGTGAAGGAGAGGGTGTAGTAGAGGAATTAGTAAGCGTCATACTACGCTCCCTTCCTTGTTGCCTCAAGTGAGATTCCTCTATCATGGAATTCAACCTTGCATCCGTTTGGTGTTGCCGTATGCTAATATTGGTAACCTTCTCACTTAAGTTGGTAACCTTCTCGCTTATGTCATAAAGCATAGAAACAACATCATGCATCGGAGTCTCACTCCGTGATCACAATTAGGAGTAGAAGTTTGTCCGTACTCCATGATACCTCAAAATGAGCAAACAGTTAGTAGTAAAAAGTCCTCACCAACTCAGTTGATGTCGCTCAACCCTCGTGTATCACACTTTGCACCAATTGGNATAAAACAATCTTTTTCCTAAATATAATTCCTAGAAAAGGGCAGCCGATGCACAATTCATTTCGCGTTCACGCAGGATCCGGGAAAGAGACACACCCCAAGGGGTGTGATGTAGACAACTAGACTACTTTAATGCAAGCATTGATGACTGCTTACACGGCTCGAACCCGTGACCTATAGGTCACGCGGATACAACTTTACCGTTGCTCCAAGATTCCCCAATATGAAAGAAATGCAATGCGACAAAAAAAAATTATGGTACCAAGCCATAGTCTATAGCCAAGGCCTAACATCATAATAAATCTATTTTTGAATTAAAGGTTGCAGCACATAAACATAGAGCTAAAGTGTTCAGAGAAAACTTTAATTCGAGTTCATCTGAATTAAGGTAGAAGTGACATCAATACCACGTCAATGAAGATCACATTGCACAAGATAACCCCAACCTCATATTCAGTAGTGATTTAACCCATTTATCCATGTTTTCTATATTAATCTCCAACAATATGAACTAGCACAAGTATAACGAAGTGAATCAATGCATTCAAGGAAAGCATGAAGTAGATGCCCAAGTCTCCAATGAAGAAGAAGAAGATCACTTGTTTGTGGCAACTATTCTTTCAATAAAAAAATCTGATTTTTGGTTGATTGATAGTGGTTGTACAAACCACATGATATATGACAGAAATCTTTTCAAAGAGTTCACGTCTATGGGAAATAAGAAAGTCAGAATTGGGAATGGTGATTATATTCTTGCTAAGGGAAAAGGAACTGTTGCAATCCCAACAAAGTCAGGTACTAAGAGACTTTCAGATGTTCTTTATGTTCCTCATATTGATCAAAATTTATTAAGTGTTGAATTTAAAGTATCCTTTGAAGATACATATTGTTTTATTTATGATGCAACTGGACTTGAGATTTTAAGGGTTAAAATGAGAGGTAAAAACTTCTCATTTGATCCAACCTAAGATGAAGAATGGAGCCCAAAGAATCTACAAAGTGCAGATAATCCTCCAAAAGAGGACATATGTGAAAATGAGACAAAGATGTTGTCAATATTTCAGAAAAATAAAATTTGGAAGAAAGTTGACAAGCCTCTAGGAAAAATGCAAATGTGGAAGAAAGTTGACAAGCCTCAAGTCAAAATGAAGCCGAAAAAAGAACCAACTTATTTCATTGACAATCATGAGATGCAGCAAAGGAGGAGTGTTAGAAATATGCTTTAGAAGCTGAAAATAGTAAAATTATTTTACTGTTTCAACTTAAGAGTTATTTACTGCAGTAATTTAGTTAGAATTTGAAATAATTTTGAACTAGTCTTTAGGAGTGAACTAGCTAGCGTTTGGCCATAGATCCCAAATTTATTTTGAAAAATCTGATTTGGGTGAAGTTTGGTTTGAAGATGAAAATGTGTTTGGATATACGTTTTCAAAACGTATTTTCCAACTTTATTTTGGAAAAACATGTAAATAATTCCCAAGTTTTGGGATTTTGGTCCAAAATCAGGGGATTTGAAATTTGGGATTTGGAATTTGGCCAAAATATGGGCAAATTTTATGGCCAAACATGAGTTTTGAAAATAAATCCCAAATTTATTTTGGCAAAACTCATGGCCAAACGGGGTTCTAGTCTCTAGGAGTTTGTTATTTTCAGCAGATCTTTTGCTGATTTTTAGGTTTTTTAAGTTAGTATTTCTCATATAAATTGTAGTCCAAATGCAGTAAAATCATATAGAATTTTCAACTTCAGTTCCTTTTACATCTATTCCAGTATACTCTTTTTATTTTCCTGTCATCTTCCCCGGTTCTTTGCTCTAATGCTAGTCCAAGGCTTCAGATTTCAGAAGCTCACGGATGTAGAAACAATGCTGAACTCTCAGTCCAAACTGTGCAGATTTTCCTGCTCAAACACTCCTCCAAATTGATGATATTAGGCTGTCAAACATATGCAGAAGTCTGATCAAACACTGCTGAAACAGGGCAGATTTACTACTCAAAAGTGTTGGATTTCCAGCAGCCTAAACCATTTGTTTGATGCTGCAATTTCTGGACAACAAGAAGTAGCTAAAGAGCTGGTGTGATATGAGCATACAATGCAGAAAGATGTTGCTAAATGCTGTCCCAAACAGTGGTTCTTGAATGCAGTTTTACAACTCAGTTTTGGCTCTCCAAAACTAATTCAATTCAACTGAAAACTTGACGACAAGCTCTCGATCAGAATGCAACAGCAACAAGAATGAAAAATGAATTTAAGTCTTCGAGTCAAGCCCTCGAGCTCCAAATGAACAGTTGCAATCAGTTAATTCAAGCAATAAACAACACGAGTCGACTTGAATGATTCAAGCTAATTACCTCAGAGAACAAATTCTCTCCAAAATTTCAGAAATGCCTGACTGAAAATCTCTCGCTGGATGTGAGGCTTGGATCACAGGTCATCCCCAAGAAAGGTAGTTTCAAGTACCTTGGGTCGGTTATTCAAGGGGGTGGAGAGATCGACGAGGACGTGACTCACTGCATAGGAGTGGTGGATGAAATGGAGGCTAGCATCTGGAGTCTTATATGACAAGAAAGTGCCACCGATACTCAAAGGTAAGTTTTATAGGGCGGTGGTTAGACTGGCCATGTTGTATGGGGCAGAGTGTTGCCAGTTAAGAACTCTCATATCCAGAAGATGAAGGTAGCTGAGATGAGGATGTTGAGGTGGATGTGCGGGCATACTAGGATAGATAAGATTAGGAATGAAGATATTCAGGAGAAGGTGGGTGTGGCCTCTGTGGATGACAAGATGCGGGAAGCGAGGCTCAGATATTTCGGGCACGTGCAGAGGAGAAGCCTGGATGCTCCGGTGAGGAGGTGTGAGCTGTTGGCTTTAGTGGGTACGAGAAGAGGTAGAGGTCGGCCTAAGAAGTATTGGGGAGAGGTGATCAGGCATGACATGGCACGATTGCAGATTTCCGAGGACATGACCCTTGATAGGAAGGTCTGGAGGTCGAGCATTAGGGTTGTAGGATAGAGTGGTAGTCGAGCTTCTCCTTCTCCATTCCGGGGGTGAAGCGAGTTTGAGTAGGTTGGTCCTAGACGGCTTGTGGTTCACACTAACCTTACTGTTTTCCATAGCTCTTGATCTTAGTTGCGGGTTATTGTTATTGCTTGTCATCTATTTTATGGTTTTTAGGATGCTGTCATATTATTTCTATGGTTATGTTGACAATACTGATGAATTGTCTTTTCTTTTCTTGGTTTATTTCCATCTTCCTGAGCCGATGGTCTATCGGAAACAGCCTCTCTGCTCTATCAGGGAAGGGGTAAGGTCTGCGTACACACTACCCTCCCCAGACCCCACTTAGTGGGACTTTACTGGGTCGTTGTTGTTGTTGTTGATTTTCCAAAGCAAGTTAGTCATTCAAGAAGATTTGCCTCCTTGGTTAGATTCCGAGAGAAGCGAAAGGAGAGATGTTTTGACAAGAAAATAGATATAGTGTCAGGAAGGAGGTTGCTCAAAGGTAAAATGGTATGTGTTGTTACTATTTTGGTTTTCTTTGAGATTTTAACCTTGCAATGATATTGAAATGGGAAATTCGGTGCACAAAGCATCCCACATTCACGCAGGGTCTGGGGAAGGGTTGCCCCCAAAGGGGTGTGATGTAGACAACCCTACCCTAATGCAAGCATCCAAGGCTCCCCTTCCTGGCAATGATATGAATAATAAAAAGATGATACTGGTTTGTCAATCATAAAGAACGGGAATTGCTGTTTGCGCGCTTTCTTTTGATGTTCTTTTTAAAAACTCTTTCATGTTCAAGTGTTAGTAACATGGTATCAATGTCATTTACAGATGCTGTTTTTCCAATTTCACATGATGTCCGTTTGTCCTCAAATCTTCTTCTGTAATAGAATTCATATAGTGATTGAATTCATATAGTAATGGTGTATTTACAAGATCGGTTCTTTGGTTGATATGCAATCAGCCAAATGCTCATCTCTTCTTTAAGTTTTGGATTAGGTTCCTGGCTGTGTCGATGGTTTCTCATGCTAAGATTTTGCATATAGTGGAAGCCGTAGTATTCATCCACACTGAAAATGAAAAGGACAATAATTTTGATCTGAACTGGTAGCATGTCTTTATGAGAGGAAACATGGATTTTGGTCGATTTGCTTTGGAAAAGTAGAGCTTAAAAGAATTTGTCCTTGAAAGACTGAAACACAGTGGCTTTTCTTCTCCTCCACAAACCCCCCCCCCCCCCAATAATAATAATAATAATAATAATAAGAAGCTTCAAGCAAAATTTAAAGAAACTTATTTTTTTAGTTTAACAAGAAGCAATTTCGGGTATAAATGTCTAGGTTTTGAGTATAACTTACTTGGCGATGTATATTAGGATGCATCGGAAGAATGGTCAATTTGCATCTTTGAAAGCAAGTTCTGGATCTTCTAGCTGCGACTCAGCCAAGAGTAGCCTTGCAGGAGATGGCACTCAGCATTCTGAAACTGTGTGAGTCTACATCTTTTTACAACTTTTATTGCTTCAGCCTCTACTAACTGATCTGCTTCTGCTCTGACCGCAAAAGTGCCAATCTTTTTTCCTGCTTGATTCTTTCTGAATTATTAGTCCTGTAAAGTGTCACCATTGTGGTGTGAGTGAAAATTGTACGCCAGCAATGCGTCGTGGGCCAGATGGACCAAGGACACTCTGCAATGCATGTGGACTAAAGTGGGCAAACAAGGTATGCAAGACAATCTTTTCTTTCTCTTCATCTTAATGATCATGAAGTTTCCTGATCTTTTGGTTCTTCGCACAATTTTCTTCTCATTTCTTTTGGTGGTGGGAAGTTCAAATGAACTGCTATTTTCACCTACTTTCTGGGCCAATACATTAAAAATTGCGCAAGCACCAAATGGATTTGTTTTCGCCTAATCAAATCAGCTGATTTGGATGTATAGGGAACATTGAGAGATCTAAGCAAGGGAGCGAGGAAAATATCTGTTGAACCAAAAGAACCGGTATGTTTCATCAGCAAGAATGAGAAATTTGTTAGTGGTGTGAAGAACTATATTCCTACATGCTATATCTAGTATACTGTTATTGGCTGTGTATACGTGCTATTTCTCCTTCACAAAAAGGACCTCTTGAAAATGTTAACTCATTCATCCACCTTAGTGTTCCTGATACATTAGAAAACTGAAGTTTTGTTTTTTACATGTGGTAGACATCCATGGATGTCACACGTCCAATTTAGAAGGTCAAAACTTCTCCAGTTGTTAGGATGAACATATATGGAAGCACTTTATTACAAAATACTCTCTCAGGCATCTTATGCTGCTTGCAGGGAACTCCGGACAATCCCATGAAGGCCTTTGCTGAAGGATCTCTTGATCAGTGTGCTGATGTAGAAAAGGTAAATTTTGATTTTTTTTTCAATTATGTGTACGATGTTATATATTTTCTCATATGCTATATTCTAGCACACACTTTATAATATCAATGGTTGAAATATTTCCTCATAGGTTATATCGTAGTACACATTAAATTCAAATTGGAATTACACTGAAGTATAATGTTAAAATTAAAAGAAAGGTTGAACGAGAAAGAACAACGAATTCACTTTATGAGTTTCTGTTAGAAATATGCTTTAGAAGCTGAAAATAGTAAAATTATTTTACTGTTTCAGCTTAAGAGTTATTTACTGCAGTAATTTAGTTTGAATTTGAAAAAAATTTTGAACTAGTCTCTAGGAGTGAACTAGTCTCTAGGAGTTTGTTATTTTCAGCAGATTTTGTGCTGATTTTTAGGTCTTTTAAGTTAGTATTTCTCATATAAATTGTAGTCCAAATGCAGTAAAATCATATAGAATATTCCAGTATACTCTTTTTATTTTCCTGTCATCTTCCCTTATTTCCCGTAATTTCTTTTATCAAGAACCAACAATTGGGTTTCAGAGCCATTTTCTTAAGGGACCTAAGTAAATCTTTTCTTGAGTGAGATGGGGACTGAAACGAGTTTTTCTCAATTGGCTCATCCAGTCTTTAATTGTGGGCAGTGAGAATGGAGACTTACTTGGAGGCTTTAGATCTTTGGGAGGCCGTGGAAGAGGATGTTCTTCCGCTGCCTAACAATCCCACGGTGGCCCAGATCAAGAGTCACAAGGAAAAGAAAACCAGGAAATCAAAGGCGAAAGCAACTTTGTTTGCTGGTGTATCTGCAACAATTTCCACGAGAGTTATGGCTCTCAAATCAGCAAAAGAAATCTGGGATTATCTGAAGGGAGAATATACAGGAGATGAAAGAATTCGAGGCATGAAGGTGCTGAATTTAATAAGGGAATTCGAGTTGCAGAAAATGAAAGAATCTGAGACCGTCAAAGAATACTCAGATCGGTTGCTTGGCATTGTTAACAAGGTAACGTTGCTTGGCACTAAATTTAAAAATTCAAGAATTGTTGAAAATATTCTTGTTACGGTGCCTGAAAAATATGAAGTATCCATAACTACCTTAGAAAATACAAAGGATCTATCCAAGATTACCTTAGCAGAATTGTTAAATGCATTGCAGGCACAAGAGCAAATGAGGCTTATGAGGCAAGATGGTATGGTTGAAGTAGTCTTGGCAGCCAACCACAGAACTCAAAGCAAGGGTAATAATGCAAAGAAAAATTACCCACCTTGTCAGCACTGTGGCAAAAAAGGTCATCCACCGTTCAAATGTTGGAAGAGGCCAGATGCAAAGTGCAAAATTTGCAACTAACTTGGTCATGAAGCTGTAATTTGCAAAGGCAAATTTCAAAAGCATGAAGTAGATGCCCAAGTCGCCAATGAAGAAGAAGAAGAAGATCACTTGTTTATGGCAACTATTCTTTCAATAAAAAAATCTGAGTTTTGGTTGATTGATAGTGGTTGTACAAACCACATGACATATGACAGAAATCTTTTCAAAGAGTTCACGTCTATGGGAAATAAGAAAGTCAGAATTGGGAATGGTGATTATATTTTTGCTAAGGGAAAAGGAACTATTGCAATCCCAACAAAGTCAGGTACTAAGAAACTTTCAGATGTTCTTTATGTTCCTGATATTGATCAAAATTTATTAAGTGTTGGACAACTAATGGAAAAAGGATTTAAAGTATCCTTTGAAGATAAATATTGTTCCATTTATGATGCAACTGGACTTGAGATTTTAAGGGTTAAAATGAGAGGTAAAAAACTTCTCATTTGATCCAACCGAAGATGAAGAATGGAGCCCAAAGAATCTACAAAGTGCAGATAATCCTCCAAAAGAGGACATATGTGAAAATTAGACAAAGAAGTTGTCAATATTTCAAAAAAACAAAATTTGGAAGAAAGTTGACAAGCCTCAAGGAAAAATGCAAATGTGGAAGAAAGTTGACAAGCCTCAAGTCAAAATGAAGCCGATAAAAGAGCCAACTTATTTCATTGACAATCATGTGATGCAGCAAAATACAAAATTGAACTCAATTTACTGCAAGTCCCAAGATCAGTTGGCAGATTTACGTACAAAGTCGCTTCCAGTTAAAGGTTTACAAGGCATAAATTCAGAATTTGAAGCTTCAAAAGCAAGGAGGAGTGTTAGAAATATGCTTTAGAAGCTGAAAATAGTAAAATTATTTTACCGTTTCAGCTTAAGAGTTATTTACTGCAGTAATTTAGTTTGAATTTGAAATAATTTTGAACTTGTCTTTAAGAGTGAACTAGTCTCTACGAGTTTGTTATTTTCAGCAGATTTTGTGCTGATTTTTAGGTCTTTTAAGTTAGTATTTCTCATATAACTTGTAGTCCAAATGCAGTAAAATCACATAGAATTTTCAACTTCAGTTCCTTTTACATCTATTCCAGTATACTCTTTCTATTTTCCTGTCATCTTCCCCGGTTATTTCCCTTAATTTCTTTTATCAAGAACCAACAGTTTCAGTAACAAAAATTTAATAAGTTTGTTTTGTTCTAATTCCACTGACGCAATCTGTCAGTAAAAACAGGACACTGTAGCAGTGTTATTTTATAGTATGCTTTCACCAATTGTCCAGCTGATTTTCTTTTGTCCAACTGATTTGGAGTTGTCACCATATGGCTTAAATTTCAACTTAACCAATTATCCAGATGGTGTCTATTTGATCATTTTGTTGCAATGATGCTCTACCATTTGGGTGTCACATGGGAGTACATTACTGTCTTGACACTGGATGAGGATCTCAACATGAATACTTTGAATGGCAATAGGCAACTCTATTTTTAGTTAAATGTTTTTACCTTACAGTATTTTTGCTGTTTTTGGTTCAGAATCTATTCGGCGCTGGGAGCAATCATGCAAATGAGATACCTGTGGGTATCACTAGTCCTTCTAGTAATCTTGTTGAGCAGGTAAGAGTAGTTAGAGAGTTATCACAGCCTTATTATCACTGTTTTCCTTAATAATATTCATGATAGATTTTTTGAATCTTTTTACTCGAAATGATTAGAATGCATTTTGTCACTGAAATCTTGGATCTGCAGGAAACTCTAGTTGATATTGGAAATGCTCCCAAAACTGAAATTGACATTCCTGCAAATTTTGACTAGTAAGTTTTGATTTTTAAGACACCATTAGCCGATATAAAGTAGCTCTCCTTGCTAATATTTGAAACCTTGCACTGGTTGACAGCCCGTAATTATTGTTGTAACATACCCCGATTGCAGTGACATCTCCTTTTCCAGAGAGATATTACCATTTCAAACTAACCCTGTTAATTAGGAATGGATGCAAGTGTAAGTGTTGATGCTTGCAAATTAGTAAGTAATACTATTGGTGCCTAGCCAATTCGTACTAGTGTGAATGTTCGCTTCCTGTACATCCTGAGCTAGTTCGAATTCTAAACCTTCGTTGTATACTAATGGTGATGATCTCATGTTTCTTTCAAAATCCTTTCTTTATTGCATGGTTTTACTTGGTACTTCTGGGATTTAATAACGAGTAATACTTGCTTCAAACCACCTGTAAGGACAGAGATTATTTCTACTTCATCCCGACTTGATTTATCTATAGAATCGGAACATTCCTTGTGCATATAGGTGGAGTATAACTATGTTTTCTGACTTAGCTGCATCGTACCCAGATCAGTGAATGATCATCTCGTTTTGCTGGTGATAGACTTGGGTTTTAAAAATTGAGTATGCCCCCTCTTCTCCCAGATAGAAAGGAAATAAGAAGTTAAAACTGAACTTTACATTCTCTTTTTATTTTTCATCCAATTTACCTGATTATCAAGCACCTGACCCTCAGTTACTCCCATAATTGTTTCTTTTTTTCCTCCTCTTAATAAGAAAGCTTCTATATTGTCACACCCCTTTTCTACTCCCCGGAAAATATGTATGTGTATGGATATTATGGTGGGTTAAAGAGTTTTTCCAGTTGAAGTGACAAATTTGAGTAGGGATTATTTTATTTATAGAGTCGCCATTTGGAATTGGTTTTCGGTGTTCCAAGTCACCTTTTATTTGAATCCCTAGTCAAAGAAAAGTTTGACTCTATTTTTATCTGTCCGCGAAAACAAAGTTCGGGTAAGGAATTCTGTTGACCGGGGAGAAGGTATTAGGCATTCCCCGAGTCCCGTGGTTCTAGCACGGTCGCTTTATTGACTTAAAACTTGGCTTGAGCTAATTTTGGACAAACTGTGATTTATATGTATTTTCATGTTTTACCTATCCGCTTTTAACTATTAAAGTTGTTAAAAAAAAGTATGATATAAACAGTATAAAATTGTCCTAACCGCGCTACGAAAGCGAATATGCGACCAAAACGAATTTTATTAATTTTGTCGTAACAGCGCTACGCAAGCGAATCCGCAGTTATGACAAAGGATTATTAGCACGCTATTATTTTCAGAAAAAATTACTGTATTTGTGCTTTTGAGAAAATTATTTATTAAAAGGTTACTATCGCTATTAAAAAGTTACTATCGCGCTACGCGAGCGAATCCGCGAGTATGGTGAAAGGATTAGAAATTTAACTAAAACTATAGATATAGTAAGAGATTAGTGAATTAAATTATTGAATGTTAAATATCACGCCACGCAAGCGAATCCGTGAATGAAAAGATTTAAGCGTGCCTACTGATTGCCTAGCAATTCAACTAATAAAAAAAGAAAATGTGTTAATTAATTAATAACAGAAATCTGATTTCTATTATTATCTTCTAGCCTTATGGTTGGAAAAATTGTGCAAATAAATGTTGGACCAACTCAATCTTTTTTAAAGAAATATGCCAACTTCTTGTTAAAAGGAGAAATGGGCCAGCTTATGGATTTTAGAAGATGGGCCAGCTATTTATTTATTGAGAAAGTGGGCCAATTTGCTTATTTAGTTATGGTATTGAGCCAACATCTATAAAATAAATGGACAAAATATTTATAGACTTCTTAAAGGCATTGGGCCTATTGGACAGAATATGCCTTGGCCCATTATTGAGCTCCGAAAATGGGCATAAGCTGAAAGCCCAATGAATTTCAAATGCCGGTTTACTAAGATAGCCCACCTTGGGTAAATTGCGAGTCTGGCCTCTTTTGTTCTAGGCCATTAACCCTTATTTTTAACTAGCAATTTCAAACACCTATTTAAGATCTAGCCACTTTCTACCAAAAAAAATCTAAAATCCTAGCAGAGATGGTCACATGTAAAATCTGAATTTTATCACAATAAATAAAGGTTTCAAGCATGGCTCTTTTGTTATTTTTCTTTAAAGAATAGCCTATCATAAACTGGCCAGAATTGCAAAGGTGCAAAAGGAGTCTTTAAGCACATTGCAACCTACTTGAAACATCTCATTTTATATGCATCAAAACTATAATAGATAGTAAAGACAAATAACACATGAATAAAGAGTGTTTGATCAACCAAGGATTTATTTTTTACATATGAACTACAACAAGATATATTTAAACAATAAAGAAATTTAGCTAAGCACTCATTTATTTAAATGGATATGCTCCCAACAATCAAGAGGAGTTCCAATCTTCTTGTTAATGTGAAAATATCTGCAACATAAGATTAAAGAGTTACCTGAGTCGCAGAATAATAAATACAACAACGAAGAATGGAAGCTCAGCAACTAAAGCAGCATAAAAACAGCAGCAAAACAGCAGAAAACCAGCAGCAAATCCATGTTAAAACAGCCCGAAAACTTCGAGAAGAAACCCAGAAACGAACTCTAAAGAGGACTTATACTTTTCTAAAAGTTTGCACTCCTAAGAT